TATTTTTTATTTTAGTAATTATATATTTAATATTTAATATATTATATATTATATATATATTCTAAAATTCGGTTAACCGTTCGGTTAATTCGGTTAACCGACACTTTCGAACCGAATTAACCGTTAACCGAATTTTAGGAAAACCTTTAACCATTAACCGAACCGAAATATTTCGGTTCGAAAACGGTTAACCGAATTTCGTCGGTTCGGTCGGTTAACCGAAATTTCTCCAAAATTTGCACACCCCTACTCCTTGCTAGCTAGTATCCAAGTTAGTCTCCAGGCTAGTCTCCCATGTTGGTTGGTCTCCAATACACTTTAGCTAGTCTCCATACGAGTCCCATGTTGGTTGGTCTCCAATACACTTTAGCTAGTCTCCATACGGGTCCCAAGTTGGTTGGTCTCCAATACACTTTAGCTAGTCTCCATACGGTTAGATAGTCTCCAATACGGTTTAGCTAGTCTCCCATACGGCATTAGCTAGTCTCTAACTGTAGTCTCCAATACGGTTTGGCTAGTCTCCTCCAATACGGTTTGGCTAGTCTCCTCCAATACGGTTTGGCTAGTCTCCCAAGCAAGGTAAAAATGCTTCACTTGAGATTCGAATTTTGGATCATTTGGCATAACTCACATGCGTATCATCCAACTCCTCTAGCATGGTTCTTGGTGACTTATCCGCATCATAATTGTGTTAAGCTATAATCCTGCTTAACTTCTTCAAATAAATTATGATCTTCCAGACTTGTACATGGGTTGCATGATGTGGGTGCACCATACTCTGTAGACTCAAACTGACTCAAATAGAACAAAATGGGGACTACTTGATTTTTCAAAAATACATTCGGCTCATCAAAATTTACAATTTATTCCTAACAAAAGCTAAGTATCCATAGGTAGGTATCAACACTTAGACAACATATGTGGCTGTTGAGGATAGTAGTTTAAATGCTCATGCGTTTTTTCTTTAAATCTTTGTAGGGGAATAACTGTATTCCACCTGAACTAGGGTGTTTGAGGGACATGTCTATGTTGTTTCGTATTGCTATGAAGAAGAAGTATGTAGAGAGTTACTATTCTGCTTTCATAGTTATAAGGATTTACAGGGATGAAGCAATGCTTACACATCACTGCTCAACTCTGTCAGCAGGCAGTTTAGAACCAGAAATTGGTTTAGGTCATGTAGGTGGTTTTCCGGATGGGGATGCAAATGGTGATAACCAGAAATTGGTTTAGGTCATGTAGGTGGTTTCCCGGATGGGGATGCAAATGGTGATACAGGTTCAGAGGTATTTCTGTAAACTGTGTTTGGTTAATTTTCCAGTTATGGTTTTATTTATTGTCCCTAATCATATTTCCTTTAGGAATTCTATGGTAGTGATGATGGAGACTATGTTGAGGTGGAAGATGGGTCTCAAGGTTTAGCTATGGACAAGTTTGTTGGCTTGGATGAGATTAAAGATGGTTTAGGGGTTGGTGCTGCTGTTGTGCCTCTCAAGAGGTCTATGTTTAAAGACTTTGAGAATGTTGGGACATCCAAGAAGGCTAAGGAAGCGGCGGTGAAGAAAGAAAAGTAGTATGTTGTTCTAGGTTTTTAAATTGGTTGTTGTAGTACTAAATGACAAGTTTTTGTTGGTTTTGGGTAGTAGTTTTTGTTGATTAAGGCTAGAAAAGTGCATAAACTGCAATTTACTCCTAGAATGTATATTCATTCTATTTTCCTAATTTGATATTGGTTTTGTGAAAGCTGCATTAGCAGCATAGCCTAATGTACTTAGCCTTAGCAGCAGTAGTCGATGTCACTTAGTAGTTTACTTAGCCTTCTAATGTGAAATGTTCTACTTATGATTATAAAGTAATATTTGCAGTTGACCTACACAGAGCAAAACATTGACATACATATTGGAGGTATACATAAAAGTTTACAAGTATGCAGTTTTGGACAATGAAAAAAAAATATCATTTAACATTTTAAAAACCAGATTGATAAAAGCAGGAAAAAATGAAACTTAATGTCTATGTAATGTACTTAGCCTTCTAATGTGAAGAATCAAAGTATAGTAAATATTAGAAATTTTATTTAGATACACATACATACACATATATTTTAGTAGTCCAATTTGAATTATTTTTTCTTAAAAATCTCTGATAAAATACTTTTACTATAAAGGAAAAAAATCATAAATATATTAAATAAAGTTAGAAAGGAATGTAATTGGTTTCTACATTATAAAAAAAAATGGCATCACACCCCTGTTTCATCACTTGCCTCTATTTTAAAGTGTTAGTATTTGCTCAAATAGAGGAATACATGAATGATCTACTTATGATTATAAGGTAATATTTGCAATTAACCTACACAGAGCAAAACATTCACATACATATTGGAGCTATATATAAAAGTTTACAATCAAGTACACAGTTTTGGCAAGCAAAAAAAAAAAACATGTAACATTTTAAAGACCATATTAATTAAAAAAAAAAAAACTTAAGGAGTATTATTTCATCAATTGCCTCTATTTTGGAATTTTAGTATTTGCTCAAATAGATGAGTAGCTGAATACTATATCATAATATAAATAACATACAAAAAGGGCACATTAAAGTTGTAGCATACAATACAAGTTGAACAGTACCAAAGACATAAATGTACATGTATTTTTTATATACACCTATGGCCTCTATCAAACATTAATTTCTGATGGTAAGATTTGACTAATGTGGACTTTCACCCTCATAGTGTCTTCTCTTCATCTTTAAAAATGGAATGACAGTAAATGAGTTAAAAATTATTAAGTATTCCATTTACGTGAAAATAATGTCATTTCAAAATATAGTAAATACCGGAAATTTTATTTAAATGCATATATATTTTAGAAGTCCAATTTGAAATAATTTTCTTACAAATTTTTGAAAAAATAATTTTACTCTAAAGGAAAAATAAAACACAAATATTTTAAATACATATATTTGTGTTTAGAAAACGCAAATATATCATCACTTGCCTGTATTTTATAGGAATGTAATTGGTTTCTACATAAAAGAAATGGCATCAGATTTCTGTATCATCATTTGCCTATATTTAAAGTGTTAGTATTTGCTCAAATAGAAGAATAGATGAATATTGTGTCATAATGTAAGGGAAAAAGAAAAAGAATAAAGTTTAAGAGTAACATACATGTTGCATAGTACCCAATTAATACATGCAGTGTTGCAAAAATCGCGCCTAGGCGCTAGGCGGTTGGCTACCTAGGCGCTCTTGGCGCCGATTAATCGCTCTAGGCGCCCTAGGCGGTCCCCAGGCGCCTAGCGATTTTTGCAACCTTGAATACATGTACAAATACAGAACACCTATACACCTATGCCTCTTATCAAGCATTAATTGGTGATGGTAAGGTTTGACTAATGTGGACTATATTTTTAATAGTGACTTCTCTTCATCTCTACAACTTCCTATCTAAGAATACTGGATTGTAATAGAGTTAATAGTATTCAAAAAAAAAAAAATACAAATATTTTTTAATTACATTTAACTTTACAAATTATTATGTAATAATTACTACATACTAATTAACTAACTATTATATGAAGACTATGTAGTTTAATGGTATCCGAGTTAGATTTTTATTTAGAATGTTGTAAGTTCAAGCCTCAATAGAGGTGTTATTGATTTTTTGTATTTAGGGATGGCAACGGGGCGGGGCGGGGAGTATACTCCCCGTCCCCGACGGAAAATTTGAAATGTTCCCCATCCCCGCGGGGAATTAGACGGAGTTGGGGAATCCCCATTCCCCTTCAACTCCTAGTCAAAATGTTAAATAATTTTAATCTAACTAACTAACTAACTAACTAACTATATATATATATATATATATATATATATATATATATATATATATATATATATATATATATATATATATATATATAATTATTCGGGGACGGGGCGGGAGGGGTATCCCCGTCCCCGGCGAGGAATCACACATATTCCCTTTCCCCGTCACCATTCCTCGAAAATTTTCCCTATCCCCGTCTCTTTCGGGGCGGGGATCGGGGATCCCCATCGGGGACGAGGCACATTGCCATCCCTATTTGTGTTTCAGTAGGTTGAGAAAGTAAGCAATGTATACATATGTTATTACATTTTATTCTATTATTACTACAATACACATACAAGTATAATACCATAGTTTTTTACCTTTAATTAATTTCTTCTGAAAAAGCTAACATGCACTCAGAGAATCCATTTTTTCTTCATCAAACATGCATTCCATAAATTTTTTTTTTTCCTATTTATGCGTACTTTTCAAAAGTGTCATATTTTTGTATCCCAAAAAAAGTTACACCCAATTCTGTTTATGATTCAAGAAAATTTGGTCATTTAATGTTCATCCGAAAGTGAAGACGTTCTCTTGGCAGCTCACATCGTCTTTCTTATCAACAAGAGATGCCCTTATAGCCAAACGGGTGCCATGCTATTATGTCATATGGGGTTGAAGGAGCTGACAATTAACAATGTTGATATTGAAAGGGTGAATCAATGATTTGGTCCCTCACTTATTCGCGACTTGTCAATGTTGCCCCTGAATCACGTATTCATCAATTTAGTCCCCGAAAATAATTGTTTTTCGTCAAATAAGTCCCTCAAGCCGTTTTCCGTCATGTCTCCGGCTAGACCTCCGATTTTCCCTGGGCATTTTCGTCATTTCCATTCGCTTAGTATATTCATCTCTTAGTCTAACTTAGTCTCTTAGTCTATTCGAACCAAAATCGCAGCCCTAACCCTAAACCCAACCAAATTCCACCCTAAAAGTAGTTTCCGCGTGTCCACTCCCGTCGTCATCAATGCCATAGCTTAGCTTTCCGCCACGTACAATGAACATACGACGTACCCTGTTCGTTTGACGAGAAGAGTAAAACCATGTCTTCAAAATCCCCTTTTTATGTGGGTGTTTTGCCCAACCAGAAACCACTAACGTAACTCAACAAAACAATAAACAATTATGGATTCTCCATTCAGATGCTTTCTGCTGGGCTACACCCTCTGCATCTTCTTCTTCCTGCTCACTCTGTTCGCCGGAGTTTCCTCCCAACCTCTCTCTTATTACTGTCCCAACACCACAACTTATACTCCTAACAGCACATATCAAGCCAATCTTAATTCTCTTCTCTCCACCCTTTCTTCCAATGGCACCCGCGAAAATGGTTTCTACAGTTTCACCGCCGGCGGTGGACGCGACAACTCCAGGGACACCGCGTACGGCCTGTTCATGTGCCGGGGTGATGTCTCCACCTCCGACTGCGGGGCCTGTGTAAGAAATGCCATCAGAGAGATACTGCAGCTATGCCCCAACGAAAGGGCTGCTGTTGTCTGGTACGATTTCTGTATGTTGCGTTACTCCAACAGTTCTATGTTCGGGAGAGCCGACCAGTCGCCCTTGTTGAATTCTTATAATACACAGAACGATTCTCAGCTGGCTAGGTTCATGGATGCTGTCGGAAACACGTTGAATCAGATGGCCACTCGAGCCGCCGGCGGTCGATCCGGCAAGAAATTTGCGACTCAAGAAGCTAACTTCACTGCGTTTGAGAGAATCTACAGTCTTGGGCAGTGCACGCCGGATCTTTCTGAATTGGATTGTCAGAGTTGCTTGGGAGCTGCAATCCAACGACTGCCCGGTTGTTGTTATTCGGCACTGGGTGCGAGAACTCTCTTCCCGAGCTGTAATGTTAGAGATGAATATACTAAGCGAATGGAAATGACGAAAATGCCCAGGGCAAATCGGAGGTCTAGCCGGAGACATGACGGAAAACGGCTTGAGGGACTTATTTGACGAAAAACAATTATTTTCGGGGACTAAATTGATGAATACATGATTCAGGGGCAACATTGACAAGTCGCGAATAAGTGAGGGACCAAATCGTTGATTCACCCATATTGAAACTATGGCCGATTTTTTTTATTTTATTTTATTTTTGTGGCCTCGTATTCTTATAAATAAATGAGGCCTTATCAAATGTATAAGTGCAATCTTTAAAATCAATACTGTAAAATATATGATTTCTATTTCAAATAAATATGAATGGTGTAACACCAGATGAAAGCAAAAATCGCAGCTCCTACTATAAAATATATGATTTTTATTTCAAATAAGTATGAATCATGTAAATATTATGCCTTCTAAAAATTGAGGCCTTGTTCTGCTGCCCATGTTGCATGCCCCAAAATCCAGTCATGATTGAAACTAACGTCAATAAGTTTTTTATGATATTACTTCTGCACCTTTTATTTATACTTTAGGCATTGTTATTGACAATATTAAAGGAATTGCATCATCGTTTAGTGATGTGTGTTTTATATTTGTCAGACAATATGCGAATCGTGTCGCTCATATTGTTATTCGCGAGAGGCCATTTGGATATCAGATTGCATTGAGTGATTGGTCACTGTGTCCTCTTGTCTTGCTAATATTCTTTTTTTTTCCCTGATTTAATGCATTATTTTTCCCTTTCAAAAAAAAAAAATAAATAAATAAATAAAATGGGGTTTAAGTGTAAAGGTTTAAAAAATGGAGGATCTCCCCATTAAAACCTGAAAAGGTATAGGGAAATGGAAGACGGCGATGCGGCGGAGAAATCAATGGAGATTGGTAAAGGTTACGCGAGTAGTTGCACACACTTTCTCTGCTGCTCTACGGCTGTTCTTCCTTCCTGTACGCATTCAAGCCTAGCCTTCTGTGTCTTCTTCTATCCTTTACTTCTTCACCACAAGTGTACGACAACCGCCAACTTCACTCTTTAATTTGTAATATTTATTTACATTATGTGAATTGATGAATTTTGAATTTGTTGTGCGTCTGTTAGTTTCTTTTGCTTTTGTAAATTTTCTGTTGCGTCTCTCTCTGCAATTTAGATTTCTCTTCCTCATTTGTTTGGGTATTTGAATTCTTGGTTAAAAATTAATACTCTTGAGTTCGAATTCAGGGTATTTTGCTCCCTCTTAAGAATTTCAATGATATTGCTTTGCCATTGCTTATTTGCTTTCTCAATTGATAGCTACGCAGTGTGATAGAATTTTGTTATGATGCTAGAAATCTACTAATCTAGAATGTGAACTTAGCTAAATCTTCTTTGGTTTTTCTTCTCTTTTGTATGATAGTATCGTGTTATTATCTATGCAAATTAACCATTGTTTCATAATACATTTGCTTGGTTTTGCTTTAGATATGAACTTGACTTTTTAGTTGATAGAGAATTAGTGCCGTTTGAGAAAATAGTCTGTTTTTTTAAAAAAATAAAATTGAGAAATATGGGTGAGTAAAGATGTGATGGAGCTAAATATTATAGTGATTTCAGAGTATGAGAGTGTAGAGGAGTAATATGCCATAGTTCATAAAAAAATATTGTATTGTAATTTATGATGTATTTTTCATTTGAACCTTTATATTTTCTCATGGGCTTCTTTGAATTGTTTGAACTTTGCCCCTACTAAAGTTTTTTTCCTGGTTCCACCCCTGCATTCAGGTCAACTCCTATTCTTGAGTGAAGAAGAGAAGGGAAATGATTCAACAATGTTATTCTCCCAGAACTCCAATCTCTCCTTTTTTCAGCAATAAAGCTCTTTGCAGTTCATCTTCTTCATTGTCTTGTGTAAGACCTAGAGCTATATGTAGAGGAGTGGGCATCAGCTGTGAGTCTATGGAGGAGAAGAAGCCCAAAGCAAATCCATATCCTGGCAGAATGGGTCCATATACGGGAAGAGATCCTGATGTCAAGAAGCCGGGATGGCTGAGGCAGAAGGCTCCTCAAGGGGAGAAATATCGGGAGGTGAAGGAGACACTATCTGGTCTCAAGCTACATACTGTGTGTGAGGAGGCACAGTGCCCCAACATTGGTGAGTGCTGGAATGGAGGCGGAGACGGCATTGCCACTGCCACAATCATGGTCCTTGGAGACACCTGCACCCGCGGCTGCAGATTCTGCGCCGTTAAGACCAGCCGCAACCCAGCTCCTCCCGATCCCTTGGAGCCCTTACACACTGCCCAAGCTGTTGCCAGCTGGGGGTAGGGGATACCCATTTTATTTACTTACAACCAAATTATTGAAATACTTGTATTCTTTTGATAATTATGTTTATTTGATAGAGTTAATACCGTTTGAGGTCCTCCGAGTATAGTGGTTTTGCCACGTTTAGTCCTAAACTTTCAAATTGACCATCTGTGGTCCTTCGACTTTCAAATTTAACCATTTGTGGTCCAAGTTAACCACCCATGGTCCTTCAAGTTTCAAAACTTAACCAGTTGTGATCCTCTTGAAAGGACCGGTTGGTTAAAATTTAATAGTTGAAGGACCATGGGTGGTTAACTTGGACCACGAATGGTTAAATTTGAAAGTCGAAGGACCATATATGGTCAATTTGAAAGTTTAGGACTAAATGTGGCAAAACCACTATACTCGGAGGACCTCAGATGGTATTAACTCTTATTTGATACTAGTGTGCCAAAAGGTCTACTTTGAAGCCTCGAGTGTATGAAAATTGGAGTGAAGATAGCAATGGAAATTGAAACAGAATACAACTCCTTTTAGGAACAACTTAAACAAGACTACTCCAGTTAAAGCCAAAATTGAGTCTCTAATAAGTATCAACCATGTTCTAGCATATATTTAGCTAGTAGTCATGGCATTCCAAGCTCCTAGCATCGAGAAGAATAATTGGAGCACCTGATTGCTTTTTTACATAATTTGTCATAATTCATCTTGAATTTCCTCCTGCAGTGTGGACTATATTGTTTTAACCAGTGTTGATCGTGATGATTTACCTGACGGCGGGAGTGGTCACTTTGCTGAAACTGTCAGGACCTTGAAGGTCAACACTTTTCTTTGTATGTCATAACTTAATTGCTTTTCATTACAATTTTTCTTTGCTCTGCATGGGAAGATTAAAAATGGACAACTGCGTTAATTTTAGGGCATTTTATGTGACATTTGATTCTTTTAACAGATACTTAAGCCAGACATTATGGTTGAGTGCTTGACTTCTGATTTTCGAGGGGACCTGGATTCTGTATCAACTCTAGTTCACTCTGGATTAGATGTTTTTGCCCACAACATTGAGACTGTGAAACGACTTCAACGTATTGTTAGAGATCCTAGGGCTGGGTAAGTTTGCTAAAAGTTTTCCCTTAAATTTCCACAATGACTATAAGAACAGAAAAATTGAGGAGGATTTTGCTTTGTGATTTCATTTCCTTATAGTTCAACCTTACCAATCACATCATTTTATTGAATGCTTAGTATTTAATGGGATTGTGCAGGTATGAACAGAGCCTATCTGTCCTTAAACATGGAAAGCTCTTTAAGGAAGGAATGGTAACAAAAACTTCTATCATGCTGGGACTGGGTGAAACTGATGATGAGATAAAGGAAACCATGGCAGATTTACGGGCAATAGATGTTGACATTATGACATTTGGACAGTATTTACAGGTAAGTGTAATTGCTATCTGGCTGGGATCTACTTTAGGCTGTGGTAGCATGCTGGATTGCACTTGATAATCTAGGAACCTATGTAGAAAAAGAGCAACTAGTTTTCATCTTCCTTTTTCAATTGCAATTCAAAGAGTTAAAACCACATTAAGAGCTGGATAATGAAACTTTTTGGTGGCAATAAGTTGCTCCATTTGAACCTGAATGATCTGAGCAGTGTCACTGTCACAGAAACCGCAATCTTTTTTTTTCTTGTTTAGGCTAAAGTTTAAGAAACCTTGCTTTTCATAGCAGCTAACAGCTATCTTAGTGCACACAAATACTTGTACCGATCAAACATTAATCCACACTAATTCCATATATGCAGCCAACTCCATTACATCTCACTGTCAAAGAGTTTGTTACTCCTGAAAAGTTTGCGTTTTGGAAAGAGTATGGGGAGTCGATTGGGTTCCGATATGTTGCCAGTGGGCCTCTGGTAAGACATCATACTTATCGCTTTTAGAATGATAATTGTCATAGCTGGAGAAATTCTATTAGCTTTTAGTTGAGAAAATGCTATATTTTGTTCATGTGAAGTGTTAAAGCTATCTAGTTTACTAGTTATCCCCCTATAAAATTTGCAATGAACTTTAAATTTGAACTTGCTCAGGTTCGGTCGTCCTATCGGGCTGGAGAACTGTATGTTCAGAATCTGGTGAAAGAACGGACCAAGCAAACATCTGCAGAGTTAAAATATAGCTTTTAGCAACACAAATTCAAGATATAGCTTCAATTTTGATGTCATTGTTTTGCCATGTTCACATTCTTAGATTTGATTTTTCATTGCAAGAGTAAACAGATTATGAATTCAATGGTCCCTTCATACATACAAAACCAAACTAGGGTTGAAGATGAGCACAATTTTTTAACTTTCATTTCAGGACCAACTCTTTAATACTTTTTGAAGAAACAAAAAACAGAAAATGCTATAGAAGAATTGAAGTACAGATAATTTTTTTGAACACTATTGACTCTGCTACAATGCAGTATCTGTTCATAACTATTTTTTCAGCCTACTGAAGCATAAAGATGAGCACAATTTTTTTAATTTTCATTTCAAGACCAGCTCTTAAATACTTTTTGAAGAAACAAATACAGAAAATGCTATAGAAGAATTGAAGTACATATGATTTTTTTTTAACACTATTGATTCTGTTACAATGCAGTATCTGTTTATAACTATTTTTTTAACCTATTGAAGCATATACCATAACTATTTTTTAACCTACTGAAGCATATACCCTCCCATATGGGGATCAACTTGGTGCCACTAGACCACAAGGTCTTTGAAGAAGTACATATAATTTAAAATTTGATAGCATTGAAAAGGAGATTTTGTAATACACAACTCTTTATTCAACACATGCTCAAAATAATGAATCTTACACATAAATAATGTACATTATGTGAGCATATAGCCATTAATGTGCAATCCAAGTATCAGCTTAGGCTTTTAGTTGAGATGGATCACATGCTTCAATTTGGTATCAAAGCCAGACCAAAGGTTATGGGATGGGTTCGAATCTCAACGCCACTCGTAAGGTTATGGGATGGGTTCGAATCTCGACGCCACTCGTAAGGGGGTGTGTGAGCAAATGTGATCAACATGAACTCAATTTAGCTTCAATCAAAACATTTGCATAACTGCAATACAAAAAATACACTATAAATCAGAATATAAGCAAAAACTTAATCAAAATCACATCTAAACTATATAAAAACTTGGAATAGCATCGTGCTCTTGAATGGCAGACATCCTATTGTTCGTATTGATCATGTGATCCATAATAAAATGAATTGAAGGATCGAAAGCTGATAAGGAAATCGCAACAATGGGAGAGCTCAAACCTTAGCATCAAGTGGGAGAGTGATAAGTATTAAGCTAGAGAGTGCTGAAAGATATAATGGTGAGAAGAGCAAACAGTAATTTTTATTTTTATTGAAAATATATACGACGAAACGACGTCGTTTTGACTCATGGTCTACGGTCCTACATGGATCATGCCACTCTTGCATTATTCATGCTCCATATTTAGGTATAACCGCAGTTTGGTTTCGGTTCCAAACCATAGGTTCACGGTTTCGGAAAATAACAATTTAGAACTAGTGATTCTAGTTTGAATCATCGATTCAAGTCGGATTTAAAAAAAAATAAAAATTCTATTTTATATTTTTAAAATATTTTAAATTCAACAATAATTTTTTTTATTTGAAAATTTAAAAAACATGGTTATATCAAATTTTTGAACTTTAAAGTTGAACTAAAAAAATAAAAATAATTTTGGGTTTACACTTCAATTCAATTCAAACTTGATTGCTTTAAGTATGAAAAAGAATTATATAGTAGGACACTACAACTGACATCCTATTGTTCAACTATATAGAATTATAAGTATGAAAAAAGAATTAATTGCTATAAGCAGACATCCTATTGTTCGTATGTCCATAATTGTATAGTATAATACATATAAACTCTTAACATAATATACATGAACTCTTAACATAATACACATAAACTCTTAGTGCGCACAATACATTGTGTGTCTTGGTGGACGATATAATTTGCCAATTGTAATCGTTATACCCTGCACCACGGCGCGCATAGCACTGTGCGCCCCACACATCCCAAACCGACGTCGTTTTGATATGTTATTGGTAAGGAATATCCCGACCGACATAAGCTTTACCCCGACCAACTTGTCTTTGTTTTTCTCTCTTTGTTTTTGCAGGTAACAGCTCGGGCTTCATGTGAAGAACCCGGTCGGGGTCCGACCGGGAGTTGCCCGAGCAGTAGTGTCGACCACCGAGCGGTAGCCCTTTGGCGAGAGAGCTGACAAAGGACATGTGGCGGCTCTTTACGACGACAGACAGGGCACCCGGGAGGATGACACGTGGTGGCTACGTGGAGAACATGCCGAACGACCGGATTCTTGTCCCCGGCACAGCGGCTATAAATACCCACAGTAGCTACAGTGTAGAGGACTTTTGGACGATCGATAGGTTGTTACTAGAGAATCCCGACCGCAGTCAGTCGGCACTCAGAGCAACCAAGTAGATTGTACTTAGGGCCTTTACCGTGATCAATAAAGATTTTTACTTGCTTTAATTGGTCTCGGGTTTATTTTATATTGCTTACGTAGAATTAGCAGTATCATTTTGGCGCCGTCTGTGGGGACCCGTGCGAGAAAGCAATGTCTTGACGAGCACCCGGTCTCTTTGCAGTCATGTACCCGTGGGCTTACAACAACTTCGCCGACGACCAGGCGGATGCAGCGAGCTCATCTGAGCACCATGCTACCCAACAGCAAGGTCAGACGGTGGATCTGAATCTTAATCTCTCACCACCGGATCCGTCTAACACATACACGGCCGCCCAACAGCCGGTGAACTACATTCAACCGGGTTACCCAACACCCGGTCAGCAATATCCACAACCGATGATGTATCCCGGTCAGTATCCATACCCGGTCCCACCTCAACCATACGGGTATTGGCCAGGCCAACCGATGTACTACACACCCCCGGTTGGCTATCCACCGTTCACACCTGCGTACATGGCTCCAGCCGCCGCCCCTCCAGTATACCCGGCCGCTCATGAAGAGCCGCAGCATAGCCCGCTTCCCGGACTCGACGCTCGGCTCGTTCGCGGTTGGGGTCGGGGGGTGCTGTTGCGATGGAGGCACCACGGCAGGCCGATCAAGCATAGAAGGATCCTACCCGAGCGGAGGACCCTGAAGAAGTTACCCGAGCGGTAGCTTTCGATCGTCTTCGACCAGAGCTTCGACAACGTTTGGGGCCCCAAGACCCAAACCGTCAACCGGAAGACGTGCAGATGCAGGAAGCCAGCCAGGAGGCTTCATCCGGGCATAGCGGGTCGAGATCTCATCGACGACGACGCGCTCGGGATACAGCTCAAGCTGCCCAAGCCGCCGAGCTCAACGAGACCCGAGGATTGCTTTACAACCTCCAGGCGGAGTTTGCGCAATTCAGAAACGCGCACCCTGCAACACCCCCGGTCGATCAATCGACCTTGCACCAGACGCCTTTCACAGCGGCGGTGATGGCTCAGCCTTACCCGCTTGATTTAAAGGTCTCTGGAGAGAAGAGTTATGATGGTCGAACAGACCCCGAAGCCCACGTTAACGATTTCTACAGCAATATGATGCTGAAGGGCGTGTCAGACGCCGTAATGTGCAAGGCTTTTTATTCCACGCTTACCGGTCGGGCGGCGGAATGGTTCCGAACTTTGCAGCCGGGTTCGATCGACAAGTTTGACACCTTGGCGATCAAGTTTGTGAGGAAGTTCATTACTTCCAAAGTGGTGAGGAAGCCCTATATGTATCTGGAGAAGGCCAAGCAACTTGAAGGCGAGAGCTTGACCGACTTCCTCATCAAGTGGAAGGCGGCGGTCGGGGAGGTTGAGTCCATGGATGATGCGACCGCCACTCACATGTTACACATCTCTCTCCGGGCGGGGTGTTTATATCAAGATTTCATTTTACACCCCCCGGCCACGTATGAGGAGGCCCTTCGAAGGGTCACAGATTATGCCAACGCCGGCGAGGCGAACGCCGTAAAACGCTCGCAGGAGGTCGGGTCTTCGTCCCGTAAACCGGCCGGCCGGGCGGAACACCGATCGGGTGATGACCATCCCCGATCCCGCACAGGCCTGGTGAGTTTACGGCCTTGAACCGATCCGCAGCGGAGGCCATGCAGTATGCCCAGTCTTGCAATCTCATCAAGCTCCCCCATCCCGATCGAGATGGTCCTGACAAGAGTAAGCATTGCGCTTACCATCGATGTGCTGGGCATGACACTGAAGAGTGCACCCACTTGCGCCAACTGTTGGAGGATTTGCTCAATCTTGGGAAGTTGGACAAGTGTGTGGGGAGAAGAGAAGACCCCAAGAGGAATACCGATCGGAGAGATCACCGGCGCTCCCATCACCGTTCCGATCGTTCTGATCGGGAGGGACGCTCCGATCGGTCAGGTCAGGATCGAAGAGACGATCGAAGAGATGATCGTCGTGATGACCGACGGGACCCTGACCCTCCGTCTAGCAGCCGACCAGCTGGAAAGCCGACCATCCACGTTATATTTGGTGGATTGGATGACGCTTCCCGACCGAGGGGTAATTGCCCGGTCGCCGTAGTGGATTCCCGGGAGACCGGGAAGAGGCAAAAGATGGAGCCCATAACCTTCACCCTCGAAGATCAACCCGATAGCGGTGACCATGGCATGGAGGCGCTTGTGGTTACAATTGATGTCAAAGGGACGGATGTCCAGAGGGTTATGGTAAACACAGGCAGCAGTGTAAATGTCCTATATTTGGACGTTTTTGAAAAGCTTGGACTAGACAGGAAGGAGCTGACTCCGGTCGGTGTACCACTGTCTGGCTTTACCGGGGCTCTTATTTACCCCGAGGGAAAAATAATGCTCTCAGTTGAGATCGGCACATCTCCAAAGTCGATCAAGACGGAGTTGGAATTTGTTGTGGTCAACCTCCATTGCGTCCACAACATTATCTTGGGCCGACCCGCCATTATGAAGATCGGTGGGATAATTTCCATGCCCCACTTGTACATGAAATTCCCCACCCCCAATGGGGTCGGTGTAGTCCGTGGCGACGTCCAATCCGCCCGGAAGTGTTACACCCGAGCGGTCAACAGACGTGACTCCGGTTCGTCTTCCCGGGTGAACACCATAGCCAAAGAGGAGGCTAAAGATCGGAAGGAACAGCCTGAGCCTTCCGAGGAGATAGAAGAAGTTCCCCTATCCGAGGACCGACCGGATAGGAAGATTAAGATTGGCCGGGCCCTCACCCCCGAGCTCCGAGCGGATATCTTAGCCATACTCCGGGAATATGCTGATATCTTTGCGTGGGGGCCCGAAGACATGCCCGGGATCGATCGATCGGTTATTTGTCACAAGTTAGCCGTCGATCCCGCAGCGAAGCCGGTCGTGCAGAAGACCCGGCATCTTTCTTCCGATCGCCGCGAGTTCGTTAGGGAAGAAGTTAAAAAGATGGCGGCGATCGAGCACATCCGACCGGTAATCTATCCCGAGTGGGTGGCTAATATTGTTCTTGTTCCAAAGCCCCCAGCTTGGAGGATGTGCATAGACTTCACCGACCTGAATAAGGCATGTCCGCTCGACCCATATCCTTTACCGAGTATCCACCAGATGGTCGACGAGACGGCAGGGGCCGAATTGATGAGCTTCATGGATGCATTCAAGGGTTATCATCAAATCATGATGCACCATGAAGATGAGAGCAAGACAGCCTTCGTGACCCCGGATGGGCTGTATTGTTACCGAGTGATGCCGTTCGGCCTCCGTAACGCAGGAGCGACCTACCAGAGAATGGTCAATATGCTCTTTGCCGATCTGTTGGGCCGAACGATGGAAGCTTACATTGATGATATGCTGGTAAAGAGTCGGGACCGATCCGACCACACTCGGGATCTCCGGGAGTGCTTCCAGATCATGAGGAAGTACCAGTTACGGCTGAACCCGACCAAGTGTACATTTGCGGTTCAGACCGGCAAGTTCCTCGGCTACATGATGACCAAGAGAGGAATCGAGCCCAACCCTGCCAAAGTGAAAGCGATTCTGGACATGCAACCACCTTCTACCGTTCGGGAAGTCTAGCAATTGCCCAGTCGGTTGGCAGCCCTGAGCCGATTCCTCTCCAAGTTAGCCGAGCGCGCTTTACCTTTCTTCAAGGTATTGCGGAAAGTTAATGGATTCGTCTGGGACGAAGAGTGCCGAGCGGCTTTTGATGAGCTGAAGGAGTATCTCATGTCACCAATCGTGCTCTCAAAGCCCGAGCTCGGAGAAGAGCTAGACGTGTACCTCGCCGTCTCCGATCGTGCAGTAAGCGCAGTATTGTGCCGAACCGATCCGGAAGGGGTCCAGCGGCCGGTGTACTATGTAAGCCACACGTTACATGGTCCCGAGCTCCGGTACTCCCGGTTAGAGAAGGTCGTCTACGCCTTATACATTGCCGCGAAGAAGTTGGCTCCCTACTTCCAGGGTCGAGCAATTCGCGTGTTGACCGATCAGCCGATTGGGCCAGTCCTCCGAACTGCTTCATCGTCTGGTCGCCTAGTCAAGTGGGCGCTGATGTTGACCCAGTACGCGATCGAATACCGACCGAGACCAGCTATCAAAGGTCAGGCCCTCGCTGATTTCTTGGTCGAATGCACCGCCCGGGATACCCGACCCCCCGAGGTCGCGGATCCCGAGGCTGAGTGGTGGTCGTTAGCTACTGACGGGTCGAGTAGCAAGAAAGGAGCAGGAGGAGGAGTGGTAGTCACGAGCCCGGAAAGATTCAAAGTCTATTTTGCTCTCATGTATCAGTTCCATCCGACCAATAATGAAGCCGAGTACGAAGTCTTTGTTAACGGCTTACAGTGCGCTCGAGACTTGGGGGCTGACTACATTCGAGCTCAAACAGATTCCGCGCTCGTGGTCGGGCAGGTTCTCGGAGATTATGAAGTCAATGGAGAGCGTCTGCAGTTATACCGAGACCTAGCCATGGAGAAGCTTGCTCAGTTCCGGGGGTATACCGTCCGGCACATACCCCGATTGGATAATGCCGACGCGGACATCTTGTCAAAGTTGGCTCAAGACGCCCCGGAACATATGTCAAAAATAGCACGAATTTTGGTGATCCTGAGACATAGCATCCATCGCCTACCGGTCAATCAGATCCAACCGGTAGAAAACAATTGGATCACCGATCTAAAGGAGTTCCTCGAGCACGGTCGACTCCCAGACGACCCCCAGCGTGCTCGGAAGGCCAAGCTTAGAGCCCCAAGGTTCCAAGTCTTGGACGGTCGTCTCTACAGGCGATCGTACGGAGGACCTCTTATGCGTTGCTTGACCGCATTTGAGGCCGATCTGGTCATGAAGGAATTGCATTCGGGAATTTGTTCTTCACATCAAGGAGGCCGATCGCTAGCCCGTCGTATCATGCTGATCGGGTACTATTGGCCGTCCCTCCAGCTAGACTGTGAAAAGTTAGCTTGGGAATGTGCACTACAAGAAAAATGCACATAGACAACGGTTATTAACCGTTGTCGTAGGGGTATACTTTTTGTTGTTGAAGCCGGTGTTGTTGTAGGTCATGCGCATAGACAACGGTTTTTTAACCGTTGTCTTTTCTACCAACGACAACGGTTTTTTAACCGTTGTCTATTAAGTGTTGTTGAAGCCGGTGTTGTTGTAGGTCATGCGCATAGACAACGGTTATTAACCGTTGTCTTTTCTACCAACGTTTAACCGTTGTCTATTAAGTGTTGTTGAAGCCGGTGTTGTTGTAGGTCCTGCGCATAGACAACGGTTAATAACCGTTGTCTTTTCTACCAACGACAACGGTTTTTTAACCGTTGTCTATTTAGTGTTGTTGAAACTGGTGTTGTTAAAAGTCACGCAATAGACAACGGTTATTAACTGTTGTCTTTTCTACCAACGACAACGGTTTTTTAACCGTTGTCTATTTAGTGTTGTTGAAATCGGTGTTGTTAAAAGTCACGCAATAGACAACGGTTATTAACCGTTGTCTTTTCTACCAACGACAACGATTTTTTAACCGTTGTCTATTAAGTGTTGTTGAAACCGGTGTTGTTAAAAGTCACGCAATAGACAACGGTTATTAACCGTTGTCTTTTCTACCAACGACAACGGTTTTTTAACCGTTGTCTATTAAGTGTTGTTGAAACCGGTGTTGTTAAAAGTCACGCAATAGACAACGGTTTTTAACCGTTGTCTTTTCTACCAACGACAACGGTTTTTTAACCGTTGTCTATTAAGCGTTGTTGAAACCAGTGTTGTTAAAAGTCACGTACATAGACAACGGTTTTTAACTGTTGTCTTTTCTTTAAAAGACAACAGTTATAAAACGTTGTCTATTGGGTGTTGTTGAAACACCCATAAACTGTTGTCTTTTGTAGAAAAGTCAACGGTTTCTAACTGTTGTCTATTGTAAAATAGACAACGGTTTTTAACCGTTTTTCAGCTGCTTAAATTATAATCATATAAAAAAACAATTTATCCATTCACCATATGTTGCAAAGTGTAGTTACATAATTGTGCACAAGCTAATAAGGTTCAAAATAACAAGTCAAAAGACTTCCATGACCAATTCTAATTATCATCCAAGTCATAATACTACTACACAAAAAACAATTCCACGAACCAATTCAAGTCCAAATGAACACAACGTTCTAATGACCAAATCATACCTACTCTATATGACTTGATAGAATATCGGCCCATTCAGAACGCACCAGATCAATAACCGCTTTTGTCATAATCAACTTGTTGAAACTACATGTAAACAATAAGAAAATAAATTAGTATAGATATAAATAATTTGCAATGAAATGCAAAATAAGTTAGGAGTAATTCGGAAAGCTCTCCAATCTGGAAGGTTATAGTACAGAAAAGCTAGACAAGAAACACTAAAATGGCAACTTGCTAGACAGGAAACGCTAAAATGGCATACTAGAGTCTATTCAAGTAGAGTAAAATCAATGCATTGACAATACTTTCCTAATATGAATACAAATGCTCCCAATTGGCAACTACCATGTGGGATGGATGGCATTTATCAATCTACCAGTCATGTTTTGCCTACTTTCTAGTTTTCTCTTCCTCAAGGCCCAAGCAAAACAAAACACATCCTCTATATAATGCCACTGCAACCAAGAACTTGACAATCTGGATTGATGAGAATCCTAATTAGCTCTTTAACTGTATGCAAATACTATCAAGTCAAATATGCTCTATACCAAAGTTGGTTGACTTGTTTCTATATTCTGCCATATTTCCATGAAAAAGATCAAATCTTTGTAATTGAGTATTTATAAGCCGGCAGGATTTTGGCACTTAACACCAAACCACAAAGATTAAGCACACTTTAATTTGTATATATCAATACAGTATGTTTTCCAGTCTTCCAAAAAGGAAAGATAAGAGATGCATTATCATTATTAATCACCAAAAAAGTTAAGGCATCAAGAAAATAATTGCTAACCACATATATATTAATGTACGTTCTTTAATTTTCCATCCCATCGAACAAAATTGTTAAGTTAGTTTTGATGCATGAATATCTAGCCAAAGGTTATGTAGAAGTCTCAAGAATCAAGATATTCTTTAATTTTTGACCCCATCTAACACCTAAGCATCCGCCTAACTCCTAATCCATATATATATATATATATATATATAGCACTGTTTTCTTATCTTTAATTAGCCGCATAGACGCGCCGCCTAAAACGTCTAGGCGCTAGGGGCTACTCTATCGTCCGACTAGTGCCTAGCACGTACCTACTGGCTACTGCAACCATGAATGCAACCACTCACCAATGAATCATCAAGATTTCCTTTATCTACCCCGGCCCATGAAAATCAATCAATTTCAGTGATGGAGCTGAACACCAGAGAAGAATTACAATTTAGAGAAGTACGTGCAGAGGATTGAACCAAAGAAAAGGAGATCAAATTTTTGTGCAGCTTTAAAAAATAGAGTATGAATCAAATTTTCAGCAATCTAACATTAATCTATCATAATATATACAATCTAATTCTATCTAAAACACATAATAAACATTTAAATTTTTTTTTAAAATAATTATCTTTTTCATTAGTTTCAACAGAAGATTCTATTTACCCAAAAAACATTTATATAATTGAAAACATGATTCACATACATAAGTTTAGACATGCAAAGCACATGGTAAGAAACTCCATAGTAAAAGATTGAGTTTGAAGGATAAATACTGTAAGCATTTTAGAACCATGTAACTTTAAAAATAATTGCAGAAGAATCATATGACTACATGAGCTTCCTAACCTCCCGGCACAAAAGTAAATTAAGCGAGGCACAGTAAGCTTTTCCTAGTGAGCCAAGCCAGCCTACTGAACTTTCCAACTCATTATTTCTTAATGCGAATATATTCATTAAACATTCAACAAAAATTGTAACTGTAATCATAATAATGATGCATTTCATAATGAACTCTATTCAGCAGAGCCCAAGCTTGAACATATCAGTATACAAAATAAAAAAATATCAACAGGGAAGAAAGAGAGGTTGAACAAGCTAAGATAAACCAAAGCAAGTGTACAAGTGTACAAGTGTATAAGGATTGTAATACTCCATATCATCTATCCAAAAAGTGACTCCGGAATGTATATGAATAGAATAAATAACCAAATGGGAGGAAATACCTGCTCAATGAGATCTAAACATGCTTGGTTGTCTTGAAATTCAACTTTTCTCCAGTCAATTCTATCCAACTCATATTCCTGTAATCAAACCAACAAGTAATGATACCATTATAATGTGTTCATTTTAAAAAAGATCCAGTAAACTTATGGTAAAAAAGCTTCAGTTTGTGAATGAAGAAAACTATACTAATATCATATCAAAAAATAATAATAAACCCAGACTTAAAATTGAAATAAATTCCTAGGTCATACTTCTAGGTGAATCCAACAATCACACTACAACTTAGCGTGTAAAATTTAATGTTTATTGCATATGTCCAGCTTCACCTAACAGCTTTTGTTCTGTTTACAGACATTAATAGAGGCGTCAAAAGATGAAAAAGAACTAGCAATGCAAAACCATAAATGTCTAGAATATTTATGGATCTACCAGTATGTTGCTTTCCCATTGCAAGCGATGTATTTATCTTATCTACAACCCAGTCAAACAAGCTTGCATATACAAATTTCGCCAATGCATCTCTTGTATCAATTGCCTAAATGAAGTTAACACACATTATGTTATGGTGAATAAGATCATAATAAATTAGTTCCACTCATATCATCGTAGATATAGATGCACTTCTCAACATTCATGTTATTTGATGGTGCAACTGTCTAAGAAATGTAATTTAGTAAAATTAATCAGACAACAACTTAACATACCTGCTTGTAACCAGCTACCTCGCACAGCCTCAACATAACCACAATGTGTTGTAGAAACCAGCTTTATTCTCAATAATTTCAAATGATCCATATAGATTAACCATTCTATATCGAGATGAGTTCAATCCTTGCCTCTAAATGCCAGGACCTAAGAAGCATGAACCCTAAAACTAAAGCAGATAGAATAGCTTGAATACATTTCCCTATATGCAAAAACAGATGGAATTTGAACTTACCAACTTACCACAATATACGAAATACACAGTAGGTTCCATTCCAGTATAGACTCACCTAGCAGCCTAGCTCCTCTCTCATAAACTAACCTATAATCCACAACTAACCTAGGGTTTAAAAACATTTATAGCTTTCAAATATGGAAATTCAACGATACAATTCAGAAATTAGGGATTTGGGTAAAAAAAATTGAGGACAAACCTGTAGGAGCTTAACGGCGGGAGAGGAGGCCGGGAAGAGGCATGCCGGCGGTAGAGGAGGCCGGGAAGTGGCGACAGCAGCAGAGGAGGGAAGAGGTGACGCCGGAGGAGATTGGAGCGACGGCGGTGGCTGGCCGGGGAGGGAGAAACGACGTCGGCTGGCCAGGGGGGAAGATGCGATGTTGCTTGGTTGGTTCGTCGGCGTGTGAGGCAGAGGTTTACGCAGAGGCCAGGGAGGGAGAAATGCTGAAGTTTTTTAAATTTTCACTAAGTGTGAGCTGTGTACTGGGAGGGAACAAAAATTTTTGTTTGAGAGGGAAATAAAAAAAAAAAATCGCTAAGTGTACTGTGAGGTTTTTTTTATTTATTTAGTTTTTTTTTTTTTGGAGGAAACATATACTATATACTATGTACTAATATAATTAGGAAAATAACGAAATTTTATTTTAATTTTATAATAAACTTTCGTTTTTTTTCAAATTAAATAAGTATATTCATTGTTTTATAGGGACCGGGTCCACCTAAACGGGGTATATAAGTATAGAACGGGGTAAGAAAATATTAACTTTATAATTTTATTATCCGGGGCGCTAGACCCAAAATAGTACCGGGTATATAGGTACAGAACGCGAGGTAAGAAAATAGTAACTTTATTACTCGGGGTGTACCGCGTATATTGGTACAGAACGTGAAGTAAGAAAATAATATATAGCTTTATTACCTTAGATGTTGCACTTAAATACATAAGTGTTGGTGTGACTTGGTGGGTTTAGCTTAGTTTGTTATGTTAGATTGTGTTAGAAGTATTGGGTTCTATTCTTCTTAGAGGCATCTTTAACTTATTTTATAAAATCGTTGTCTTGGTTTTCACAGACAACACAGAAGCAACCCAGTTATATATCAGTTGTTGCACTTTAACATATAAGAGTTTGTGTTGCTTAGTTGGTTAAACTTTAATCATTATGTTTGAGGTCAAAGGTTTGACTCTTGTTGTTAACATCCTTGTTTTTATTTTATAAAATAATCAAAGACAACGGTTTTTTATAACCGTTGTCTTTGTAGTGTTGTGTATTCAAATACGCTTAAAGACAACATACCAAAGACAACGGTTAAATAAAGCCGTTGTCTTAAACAAATAAAGAACGCGCAACGACAACGGTTATATAAAACCGTTGTCGTTGTAGTGTTGTGTATTCAAGTGCTATTAAAGACAACACATAAATGACAACGGTTAAATAAAACCGTTGTCTTTTATAAAATAATAATGCGCAAAGACAACGGTTTTAAACAACCGTTGTCTTTGTAGTGTTGTGTATTCTAGTGCGCTTAAAGACAACACACCAACGACAACGGTTAAATAAAACCGTTGTCTTTTTTTTTTTTAAAAAGAGTGCACAAAGACAACGGTTTTAAACAACCGTTGTCTTTCTAGTGTTGTGTATTCTAGTGCGCTTAAAGACAACACGCCAACGACAACGGTTAAAAAAACCGTTGTCTTTAAAAAAAAAAAAAAACGCACATAGACAACGGTTTTATTGTCGTTGTGCTGTTGTCTTTTCACAAAATGCACAAAGACAACACACTTATAACAACGGTTTAGTAAAAACCGTTGTCTTTGACAAAAGTGTTGCATCAAAGACAACGGTTTTGGACCAAACTGTTGTCTTTTATACAAAAGACAACACTTTTCTTAAAAACTGTTGTCTTTCTAGTGTTGTCTATGTGCATTTTTCTTGTAGTGGTGAGACGTGCCAACTGTTTGCCCGGATGCCTGGATGACCGGCAACCTTCTATCAGCCAGTCACGACTGCAATTCCCTTCGCTAGGTGGGGGGTAGACATCTTGGGCCCTTTCCCTCAGCTCTCCGGTCGGAGAAAGTTCGTGATTGTCGCCATCAATTACTTTTCCAAGTGGATAGAAGCCGAGCCCTTAGCCACGATCACATCTCAGCAGTGTGCTTGGTTCCTTTGGCGCAATGTGATTTCCCGCTTTGGTGTGCCCGTGCATCTCATCAGCGACAACGGCCGCCAATTCGTAAGCCAGTATTTCCAGAACTTCTTGGCCACGATCGGGACGGCCCACGTCCGGTCGTCGGTGGCTTACCCACAGGGAAACGGACAAGTGGAGAACGCTAACCGGACGATTTTGGAAGGTCTAAAAAAGAAGCTACACTCGGCGGGTCGTAGTTGAGCCGATGAGTTGCCATATGTGTTGTGGACTTATCGGACGACCCCGAGGGAAGCTACTTTGGAGACCCCTTTTGCCCTGGTTTATGGAGCAGAAGCCCGACTCCCGATCGAGGCTTGGATCCCGACCGATCGAGAGAGAACCTACAATGCTGAAGAAAACGAACATGCGATAGTCGTGGATCTAGATGGGATCGAGGAAAAAAGAGTGCTAGCCGCTCGGCGTATGGCCGAGTATCAGAAACGAGTCAAGAGTTCAAAGGACGTCCGGGTCAATCCTCGTTATTTCCAGGTGGGAGATTACGTTCTACGACGAAGGGAGGCCAGTCAACCTTTGGAGGGCGGAAAGCTAGCTCAAAATTGGGAAGAGCCGTACATCATCAGCGCTATCATACGGCCGGGGACATACTGACTGGAGACGACAACCGGTCGGGTAATCGAGGGGACTTGGAATTCCGAGCACCTCGTTATGTTTAGGCATTAGCCTATTTTATTGTAATTTTGGACGAAGTGGGGGCTCAACCTGCGAGTTAGTCCCGGTCGTTATTTGTAATTAGATTTATTTTTGTAAATATTTGTTAACCGCCTGCGAGCGGGAAGGTTTAATGTACATACGATCAGTGATTACTCGACCGCTTGCATGCGGCGGCCCGGTCGGCTATTTTCTATACTTTTAATACATACAGATCAAGTTACATTGACCGAGCGAGTTTATCGACCGGTCAAATACGCTCCTCTTCGGCGGACATTCGGGTCACGCCATTGATCGGGGAAGCCAGGAGCGCTCAGCATAATTCCCCGATCCATTCAACTTCTTTCCACTATCGCACTCACTCGTGCCTCGAGAGCACAATAGTGTGGGGGCTGGGATAAGGAAGTGTCTGTAGGCCCGTCGTTCCAGAAAAACCGACCGTGAGGGCTTAACTATTTTCAAATTTTCGTCAAGGCCAGGAGATCGGGTAAACCTGATCAGGTTGGCCAGTATGACGTCGACATATGTCCGTCGTTCGGGGATATCTCGAACGTGGAGGCCTACCTATTCTCAAAATTTCGACAAGGCCTGAGGATCGGGTAAATTCGGTCTGGTAGGCCAATGAGACGCCGAAATCTTGGATGCACGACTGGGCCATAAGGCCACAAGGTCGGATATCGAGTAGTGAACGACCGGGCTAAAAGGCCGTAAGGTCGAGCATCTACGATCGGTGTACGCACGTTGAAAACAAAGATGTAAAGTAAAAAACTAACGGCACAAGTTGAACACAAAAGAGATTTATTAATCAAAAAACGTGCCCGGTACAACTCGGGACCGGGCTCCCGATTAGCATCACTTACACAAGGAAGCAGAATTTAAACCTATCCTACTTCTTCGTGGTCTCAGCATCGCCCTTCTTCGGCAGTCCCTCTCCGCTCGGGGCGGCCCCAGCTCCGCTCGCCTTGGTCTGATCCTTCGGATCAAAAGGTGCTGGCCCCGGGTCGGCTACGTCGTCGGGGAGTGTAGTTAAGACCAACTGGAGATCATCCCCTTCAAGGGCTTACTCGATAATCTTCTTTGTCTGGTCGCGCATTTTTCGTTGACCGGCTTTGTACGCCCACCGGCCAAACGTCCACACCAGTTTCTCCCCGACCTCTGTACCCCGAACGGACTGGAGAAAACGAGCGCCCGATTCGGTGTCCTGGAAGAGATGTTGGGCGAGCTTGTCCGGGTCATTCTGACGAGCTTTTAACTCGGCTGCTTCCCCGATCGCCTGCTGGGCGACCTGCTCTGAGAGATCCCGCTCGGCCTTAACCTTTTTGAGCTCGGCCTCCAGGTCCCGGATCTCCTGTAATCGCCGGTTGGCGACTTTCTTCAAGGCCTCAGCTTCGTTGGCCTGTAATGCCCGCTGTTGAAGAAACTGGGCCGCTCGGGAGATCTACAGTGCACAAACGATCAAGTTAGCCGAGTGGACTTACTTAAGAGAAAACTTGAAAGAAGAAAATATGCTTACCTCAGCCAAGTCTTGACCGATTTTCTCGGCTACCTGGCTCGGGGTCAGCTTAGAGATGTCCTCCTTAGCCGACCCGGCATTCCCGATCCGGGTGAGGATCGAAGAACCACCTTTGCTGCCGCCGCCTGAGGGCGTCGGGCTGTGCTGCTCGCGGCGCCGTTTTAGGGCCCCGGTCTCCGAGGCGGTCTTCTCCGCCATCTTCTCTTTTCCCTTCCCGACCGCCACTCGGGCGACCAGGACCTCCGAGGCGTCCACCACGTAGCCTTCAGTCGTGGTGACGGTCGATGCCCCTATGGGTCGGGCAACAGGAATCTCTTTTTCCCCGGCCGGTTTGGCCTGGGCCTTCTTCTTGCCAAGGGAAATCTTGGTCACCGGGCGCAGAGGAACGTCCTAGTCTCCGAAACCGGCCATCTCTGCAAACAAAAACAAAGTGGGTTAGGTCGAGTTAAGAGTGATCGGAATGTTAAGGGTCCGGAATAGGGTTGGCCTCAAACCCTTACCCTTCCTTTTGCCCCGAGCGGGCATCTGTGCAATTGTTACACCCGCCGGCTCGAGTTTGTATTTCTCGGTCAGATCGTAGACCGACTCGGGCAGCCGGGCCGCTTCGTAGCACTCGGGCGATTTGAAGATGCGATATTCATAAATCTCGCTCGAGATCTTGGTCACAGCATCTATGAGGGCCTGAGTCTCGATTGGGATGACTTGCTTTCGAAAGCGTTGACTCCAGACCCTCTCGACCGGGAGGATCCACGGATCGTACTTTACAGAAAAGATCCGGTTCTTCCACCCCCGGTTGTTCCCGGGCAGCCCCTCAATCGAGCATTTATCCGCTCGGGACTGAGTCATCAAAAATCCACCCCCGTACGCGGCCGCCAGCACCTTCACTTGGTAGACGAAGTTGAAGAGCTCCATGGTGCAGGCTAAGTTGTGCCGACTGCAGATCTGGGGGAAACACGCGATCATACGGTGCGCGTTCGGGCAAATCTGCCCGGGCATAACCTGGTAGTAGCCCAGGAATGCGGTGAGGAGGCTGGAGAAGGGGAACGTGATCGGGGCCATTAACGAATCGTAATGCATCCCGATCCATTTCCCCTGATGCCGCTCGATGATATTCCCGAGCTGCCTGCTGGTGTCGAACTCGACCCGACCAGCGAGAGTTGCCGCGATTCTGCTTGCTTCTCCTTTTGTCAGCAAGCTCGTCTGGCCTTCGACGCTCTCGCTATTGAGGAACTCAAACCCGTC